GTGCGGCCTCTCCAGCACCGCTTTCTCCTGGGCTCCAGTAATCGGATAATCGGGAGGAAACTACTCCTTGAGCCCCGCGTTCGATCTCCCCTGGGGAGCCCCTGGCCCCCCACGGCCCCTTCCCTCCCCGACCTCCGCCCCCAGGCTCCTGGGCCCCACGAGCGCCATCAACCTAGCCGCTCTCGCCAGCCCTGCACTGGTCCCAAGGGCTCCCTTCGCCCTCTCGCTCTTAGTCCGGCTCTGTTTATCTGCATCCTCCTTGCAGGCTCCAGCAGCAAGGTGCTAGGCAGTAATGGGGAGTAATGAATCTCAGTATTTTCAAGAAAGTTTACTTTTGAATCAATCAGACCCATGTTTAAAAGCCTCTAATCTTCCCTGAATCAGCTTAATAAACTCTCTGAATTTCCTGCTTTTATCACAACTCCACTGGGAACTTCTCGGCAAATAGTTTTCATCTATTGTTTCTCTCTCCACCAGGCTGCACTCAGCTAATTCTCTTGCTCTCTGGTGAATGCGCAGGTAGGAAAACAGCTAACCAAATGTGCAGTGCTTGAGTCTTCCCTTAGCAGGTGGCAAAATCGCAAAATTTCTTGAAAAGTCTTAAGTTATTGTCTCGTTTAAACCTAGTCTTTGCAGCTCTGATGATAAAAATTGAGCTTTAAGTTATTTCATATTCAGAACTGACAGGCTGATTTCTGTTTAATATCCATTAAATATTAAAGTTCCTTGGGGATACTGCCACAGGGACTCTAACTGTCCCAATATACAGTCTTTTTGGGTATATTAAGTTGTATGGTATAACAGCTATAAACTTTTCAATCTCCAGGAATCCCTTTTCTGCCTCAATTTAAAAGAGCTATACAAATTATTAGATAAGCCTGCTGAGAAACATCTTATTCTGAAGTGAATCTAGCTAAATAATTCACTCGGGTCATCCCCCCTTTTCTTGAATTGAGTTTTTACTACCCAACTGGATATCTCATGTTAAAAGTTCAGTTAGCATAAAATACAACACTTGTAATTGTTACAGGTAATTTAATTTACAGGGAAATCCCTACTGTATTATCGGAGATGTTTAAAGATGACCGGGAAGCAGTAAAACTGATATTTATTAATGTAACTAACCAACCGTAGATCTGACATCTCACAAGGGACCACAGTGATCAGGCTTCAGAGTTAAACCCTTTCCTTGGAAACCCACACAGAAAACGATGCTAGATGTTTCTATTCATAGCTTTAAAATACTGCAGCTCATCAAAAGCAAAAATGCAGACATAATTAACAATGAATAATGAAATTATTCAAGAACCTACTTGTTTCCTTTCAATGAGAGAAACCTCAACAGTGATAAATCAAAAATTTTGAAAAAGTAAGCTTAACTGCAAGCTCAGTTCCCTATCCAGTGGCCAGCCAGAAGGTAAAAGGAGAAATCTCTATTTGTTTCAGACAGAATGGTCTAAGTTAAGGGAACGAAGCCTCAGAGAACCCAGCCCTGGTTATTAAAACCGTTTCTGGGCACTTCAGAGGTAAAGCTGGTCCTCATTAACCCACCGTATCTCTTCCCTTATCTTTTTAAGTTTGCAGCACCATTTCCTAAATCCTGAAGGAAGGGACTGTTCCCTTTAATAGTTATGCTAGCATCACCTTGACTTTCAGGAAGTAAAATATAAAGGTGACTCAATTCCCACTTCTTCCCACCATCTTTCAAAAACTGCCAGCAACGCTTCCATTCTATTTGGGGTCTGAATACAGGCGGGTGTGTGACCCAATCCTGCCAAAAGCTGAGCCTGGGACTCCAGTGGCTCCTGCCATCCAAGCAGCCCTGGCTCTGACAGAAGGCCCCATTCCTGCACCCAGAAACAAACACATTTCTCCTTACCCGCCTCCACCCACACTAGGGTGACAACTGGCCCCCCACTCGGTCTGGGCGGTGCCATCTTTGAAAACAAACCCTGTACAAAGAAGGATGCACTGTGGGTCCTCTAACTCCAAGGACAAGGAAATGGAGAGGCAATGCCAAGGACTCCTGCGGAGCGGTGACTAGGCTGGCAACTCCCTGCGCAGGCCAGGACTGCTTTTGGGAAAGGACTGACCCCGGTTTCAAAGGGTTAAATATTTGCAAAGGGTAAAACCTGAGCCTCCCGGTTTTTTGTGCTTGCCCCAGGCCTGCTAGAGATTCGGTATCTCCCAGTTATTTCCTGAGATCACTAAAGCCAGTTTTCAAGAAAACAAGTCGCAGGGTTTGAAATGTCACACCGAGTGACCTGGACACGGGTATCCAGGGGCCATCCCTGCCCCCTCCGCTCCCGGTCTGGAAAGAAAATAAACGGAGGACACGCCAGGCTGGCTCTAGGGCGCTCCTCCCCGGCGGCCGGGCCGGTGTCTCCTGCAGGTGATGCCGGGAGATAAGGCGCCGCTGCCCGCCGTCTAGACTGGCGGGGGTGGGGGGGATTAGTGACGAAGCACAGCGCGGGGACCCGAACACCGCGCAGGGCCTCGCAAGCCTGACCACAGACTGGAGTCCATCGCGCTGCCTCCACACGCGTGCTACGGCTTTCCCGCCAAAGCGCGGTCGTCACACCCGCTGGCCTCCACCACTGGACGCCCGAATACTGGGGCAGGGAGTGCTGGGGGCTGCTCGTAGGAAGGGGCCAAGCGCCCAGAAAAGCACAGCCTCGCCCCCAGCGGGCTCGCCCTACCAGCGACCAATCCTCTTCGAGCCCGCCCCCCGCAACGCCCAATCGTCGCCAGGCCCGCCCCCTAAGGCACACCCTACAGCACGCGCGACGCAAAGCAACGCGAGGCCCGAGGACACCTGAGGAGACTGAATTTCATTGCAACAAATCAAACCCTTGAGCCCCCTTAGTCCAGCCGTTGTTTACTGCACCAACAGCACACAGCCTGTATCAGGTTATCATTTTTTATTAAGATCAAAATATTCGTCCACTATGAACTGGCTGTTCTCACAATAAATAACAATAACTTACGTTTGTTTGTTCGGCAAAGGCTCACACTCCGTCCTCCGTCGACCGATAAGTTAACACGTGTGTAAGGAAAGTCCAGTCCTGCTTTTCCAGCAATCATGCGTGTGGGGCCGCGTGTCCGCTGGAGTGCCCAATCTGCACGCTGTCCACGTGTGGGCGGGGCCTTGCGGAGCACGGGGAATGAGGGGCAGCGCTAACCCTGGTGGATCCCACGTTCTGGTTTTGGAAAAAATGAAAGTCCTGGGAGCGGGGTCTCTGTATCACTGTGGGCTGTGGGCGGGCTACTTCCTGGCGCTTTGCAGGCTTGACCGCGGGGTTTTCCCCTCGGTCCGCTCTCAATAATAACAGAGGCGAGGGACGAGCTGGCGCGGCCTGAGCTGGGTCTCATGCAGGGAGCATGCGAGGTCCGGTGGGGATCCGCTCACGTCTCCACAGGGCTCGGCACCATACTGTTGGGGGTGTCCGGGAGCTGCGAGGACAGGGACGTCACGTCGCTGCCGGAGGAGTTGCCCAAGGAGCCGGACTCGGAGAAGGAGACCTGGGCGGTAGGAGAGGGCCTTGAGGATGCGGCCCG